ACCAAGAAGGACTTCGGCCTGGGGGGAGGGCATCGGCTCCGGGCCTCCCCCGCTGCCCCCGCGGTGCCGGGGAGGAGCCCGGAGCCTCGGAGCTCCCACCGCGGAGGCCTGCCGCAGGCGGTCATGGCCCGGGCAGGGCTGGAGCCACAGTCGGGAGGGAAAGAAGCACACAGTCGCAACGAATCGTCGATTCCCCAGAAAGTATTGGAAAATATGGGGTGTGGGGGGGAGGCGAGAACCCAGAAAATATGGGAAAGCATGGGGGATCCTGTGATTTGTGTGTATTTGTTCGTGTGTCCTTGGGCCCCTTGATACACGGATTCTGGGCGGTTTCGCAGACCATCTTCGCGTCGAGATTCCGTGTTGTAGGAAGGGTGGAGCGAAGTTAGGGCGAGGAAAGCCGAGAGCAGAACGAGAGCGGAGAACATTGTGTACAGTCAATCCGCATAGTGAGGATGGGCGACCTTCCCAAGGGTACCCTTGCATCCAGGCCTCCTCGGTCCATCCTTGGCCACTCTCGTTGGCCGCGCCCCGCTCGGAAAGCTTCCAAATGGGCGTCCAAAGCCCTCGCATCCTTATCGCGCACACTTACTATACGGGTTGACTGTAGCTCGAGCCCTGGGCCCAGGGTGCCCTCCATCCCTTCGCGCCATCTTTTTCCGCCAGGGCGCTCCTCCGTCGATATATTTGGAATGGAGACCCATGCCAAGAAACACCCGACTTGCATCCAGGGTGCCTTCGGTTTCTAGGGTTTCGATGGTTTGGCTGTGCACCAAAAATCCATGGACGTCCTGGGGTCTCAGGGTAGGGTGTCTTGTGGAAGGTCCGAGCCCCTTGTGTGTATATATACGTATGTATATAATTATATGTATATCTATATGTATATGTATACAGTTATATATGTATATAGATATATACATATGTAAATATATAAAAACATATGTATATATATTTATATGTACATATGTATGTTCTATATATATATATATATATATATGTGTATGTACACCTATTTACATATATATATATATATATATATACATTTGTATCTATGTATAGCCATCGCCACCGACACGTCTCGCACACCGGACCACCGGCCCCCGTGGAGCCCCCCGCGCGTTCTCGGCGCGCCTGCCGCCCCCCCTCACGTCGGGGGGGGGGGGGGCGCCTCGCGGCGGCGGTGGACTCGCTCGCCCGTCCGCTGGTGCGCTCGCCTGGGCCGTGGGGGCACTCCGGCTCCCCTCTCCCCCCTCTCTGGTCGGGGATGGACAGACCTCCTACCCTGACACGTCGAGTAAGGAATTGGCCGTGTTCGGTTCGCGGGAGGGCGCCGCGGCCGTCATTTCTGCGGGTCCCGGTCCGCCGGTTTCGGTCCCAGGTCGTTTTCACTAATCGGAGGTGGACAGACCTCCTACCCTGACACGTCGATTCAGGAGTTAGCCGTGTTCGGTTCGCGAGAGGGCGCCGCGGCCGTCATTTCTGCGGGTCCAGGTCCATCGGTTTCGGTCCCAGGTCGTTTTCACTAAGGCCTGGCATCGCTCGGACGTGTGCATTTTTCTTCCTGCGAGGGCCATCGAGGAGCATCCTTGATCATTTGGCGAAAAAAAACCGCACGACCCCCCCCCAAAAAAAAAGGGAATGAACGTCCGAACGATGGCGAGAAGGGGAGGTCTACTAAAGGGAGGTTTGTCCACCGCCGATCTGTTCCTCCTGACACGAGGCGCGCGCCCCCCTGGGTCGCTGGTGGCGCGCCGGAGGGCTCCTCCGTCCTCGGGAGGGGCCCCGTGGGCGGCTCGGGCCCCTCCTCTTTCGGGAAGGGAAAAAACACACAGACACAGCGAATCGTCGATTCCCAAGAAAATGTAGGAAAATATGGGAATTGGGCGGGAAGACAAAAACCCAGAAGATATGGGAAAATGTCTTTGTGTGTAGTTGTTTGTGTGTCCCAGGGCACCTTCAATCTTTCTTTTGCTCCTTCGAGCGCTGGCTGAGAGGTGGCGAAGGTGGCGGACCCTCGTGAGGTCCGGAGCGCCACCCTCCCAGTCAGCCCTGAGGGTGCGGAGGACGGCACAGCGAAGCCCAGCGTTGAACAACAACAAGGCCTCCTAGATGGGGTCGGAGGATCGCGCCGCGTCGCCGACGCATCGACGATCCGGCTCTATGTGGAGCCCGTGTTTCTCTGCGCCCATGTCGCCGATGCATCGCCGACGTCGCCAGTGCATCGCCGATGCGTCGCCGATACATCGGCGATGCATTGGCAATGCGGCGCGATCCTTCGACCCCATCTACTCGGACCCCATCTAGGAGGCATCCCTCCTCTCGAAAAGGTAAAAACGACATACACATAAACTTTTGGCGCTCCGCGCGGATTTCTTGGATCTGCGCCTGAGGTTCCCTGGCGGCGCGCTCCGCGCGCCAGAGAGGGGGTCAGCGCAGATCCAAGGAATGTGCCATTGTTTCTTCTTCTATCCAAAAGTTTCTGTCTGTGCCGGTGTTCCTTCTCCTATCCTCGCCCTCCCGACGGTGGCAGCGACGGCGCGGCGGCGACACGGGGCCAGCGGCGGCCGCGAACGATGGGCGGCGACGGCAGCGGCTGCCCTCCCTCCCCCCCGCCTCCTCCCTCCCCTCCCGCCTCCGACAGGCCAGCCACAACTGGGGGAGCTGTGGTCCTTACCCCCCTGGGGGGCCCATCGATCTCGACACCCCTCTCGAGAGATCGTCGAGGCGATGGGTTCCCCCAGCGGGGTAAGGACCACAGCTCCCCCAGTCATGGCTGGTCGGTCCGACCACCGCGGCGGCGACGGCAGCGACCGCGGCGGCCGACCACGCCGACGGGCGGCGGCGGCGGCGGCAGCAGAGGCGGCGGCGGCGGCGGCGGGGCGCGCCAGGTGGACACCGACGTCGCGTCGAGGGCCCTGCTCGAGCAGGGCGCGCAGATCAGCCCGGGCCTCGGTCGCCGCCGGCGTCGGCGCCACGGCGGCCCTTCCCTCGGGGGCGGAAAAGAGGGGGGTGATGACTAGGGTAAAGCGACGCGAAGATCGGGACAAAATCGGATCGGGATAACTCGAAATCTCTGAGAATCGGCGGGTTTGGAGGATGTATTGGGCGCCGCGGCCGCCCCAGAGCATTCCGGAACGCTCTGAGAGCGCTCCGGAACGCTCTGGAGCGATTTATCCCGATCCTAGCTCTGTTTTATAGGGGGGTGTGGATATCATGGCGGGGGCCACGATATCTCCCCAGATTTCATGGCGCCTCCTCTTGTTTCATTACGTCCCTGGCCCCCCCGCTGGGCCGCGCACATGCCGCCCCTCTTGGACACCCCCCTCTTGGCCGCTCCCGACCATGGCGGCCCTTCCCCCCACCGTCAGGAGCACAGAGGTTAGAGGCCTGTTCGGGGGACCTTCCTGGGGCCCACCTTCACGGATCTGTTCGACTCCAGTTCGACGCCAGTTCGATTCGAGTTCGACGCGAGTTCGACCCAGGTTCGACCCAGGTTCGAGTCAGGTTCGACTCGGGATAGGCTCAGGGTCGGCTCAAATCGACGGACGTCCGACGCAGCTTCGACGCACGAGTGGAGCGAGTGTCTCCAGGAAGGTCCCCCGAAGGAGCATCCAACAAGGGGGGAGGAGCAGGAGCGAGGAGCAGGAGCGCAGGAAGGGCGCGCGCGCACAACGCTGGCACGGTCTGGTGACGTGCTCAGTGCGAGGGGGGAGGAGGAAAGGAGGGAGGTCGTCGTCGAACGGTAACGTAAGCATGGAGTGCTACTCAATGACGGGTGCCAATGCTCGCTCCTTCGTACTGGAAAGAGCAAGAGAGAGAGAGAGAGAGAAAGAAAAAGAGAGAGAGAGAGAGACAAAAAAGAGAGAGAGAGAGAGAGAGAGAGAAAGAACGACAGAAAGAGCGAGAGAGAGAGAGAGAACAACAACAAAAACAAAACAAAATGCCAAAGAGGACAGACGAGTGAAGGGAGGAGGGCGCGCCAAGCCCCCTTGTTCCTCGTCCTCGAGCAGGCCATCCCTGAAACCTTGAGGGCTGATAGGGGCGGCGGGCGGCTGCATCCGCAGCCTGACGCGCTCGCAGGGCCTCCTGGGAGCGCCCAGGGGGGCCTCCCGGAGGCCTCCTGGGGGGCTTCCTCAGACCTCTGGGGGGTGTTGGGGGGGGTCCGTGGGCGGCTCTGCGGCTGAGGGCGTTCCTGGCTCACCTGGTGCCGTCGGAAGCCGTGTTGGGAGCCTCCTGTGGGCCGACCTGGGGCCCCCATGGGGCGCTTCAGGGCCGCGCTGGAGGCCACTTCGGGCGTCCTGGAAGTCTCCTCGGGGGCCTCTTGGGGCCGTCAGGGGACCATCAGATCCTCAAAACCGAAGGAGAGCAAATGAAGTTGGCCTCCTCGGGACTTCTTGGCGGTCCTTTTGGAGGCCTCTCGGGCCGTCGTCGAGGCCGCTCGGGCGATCTCGAGTCCATCATGGGGGCGTGTGGCTTGTCTCAGGCGATCGCAAACATGGATTAAGGGGGCGTGTATTGGCGAAGGGTCCCGTTTCCATGGGAAATGGCGGATTTCAACCGCCGAGCGAGGCGGCACCGGCCGCAGTTTGGGGAGGGCACCTCCCCCGATGCATGGGTTTGGCGACCGCGCGCCAAATCCATGGATCGCTAAGCCATGCTTGCGCGCCCCCGAAAGTCTTGGAGACATGCTGGGGCCATACTTCAGAGCGTGAATTACCTGCCCCGCTTTCGCTTCCAGGCAAAACCAAGTCATACCGCGCGCCTCCTCGTCGAGCGGCCCGACCAGTACAGGCCGTAGTTTGGCATCGCTTGGAAATCTCTTGGAAGCGAGGGTGGTCAAAAGCGAGGTCGGTTTGTTGGCCCCCTATGGACATCGTACCCATTGGTCTGCAACCAATTTCGGGCGTCCAAAGAGGAGCAGGGAGGTCAACATTGGTCGGGGGCGGCCACGCAGCGCGGGGACCACGCCTTGTGGAAGCGAGGGTGGTCAAAAGCGAGGTAGGTTTGTTTGCCCCCTAATACTTGGCTCTCTTGGGGACAGCCTGGTCGTCTTGGAGACCCTCCTGGCCGTCTTGGAGACCCCCTCGGGTCGGGCGTCGGGCGCTCTCTGAGGCCCCCCCTTCCTCCTCCTCCTCCTCCCCCTCCTCCTCCTCCTCCTCCTCCCTCCTCCTCCCTCCTCCCCCTCCTCCTCCTCCTCCTCCTCCTCCTCCTCCTCCTCCTCCCCCTCCTCCTCCTCCTCCTCCCCTCCTCCTCCTCCTCCTCTCTCTCCTCCTCCTCCTCCTCTCCTCCTCCTCCTCCTCCTCCTCCTCCTCTCCTCCTCCTCTCCCCCTCCTCCTCCTCCTCCTCCTCCTCCTCCTCCCTTCCTCCTCCTCCTCCTCCTCCCCCTCCTCCTCCCTCCTCCTCCTCTATCCTCCTCATCCTCCTCCTCCTCCCTCCTCCTCCTCTCCTCCTCCTCCTCCTCCTCCTCCTCCACTCTCCTCCTCCTCCTCCTCCTCCTCCTCCTCCTCCTCCTCCTCCTCCTCCTCCTCCTCCTCCTCCTTCTCCTCCCAGCCGAGGCGTGACTTTTTGTCCCCCGCCAGCCGCGCAGCCACATCTGTCCTGGCACTGTCTGCGCAATGCCGATGGCGGGAGCCCGGGGATCATCCCAAGCGGATGGCACTACGCTGCTCCCAGGTTCGACTACACGAAAGAGTGACCTTTTGCCGGAGTGACCTTTGGTGCGGGCACAATGGGGTCCCCCGATCACCGAGCGCGATTGCGATAGTAGCGTCTTGCGCGCCTGAGTTTGGTCCCCCCGCGACCCCCCAAAAGCCGCGCACCAAAGGTCACTCTTACCCAGGGTCACTCTTGCGTGTAGCCGACAGGTGCCGGGCGACGCTTGCTGGCCGACTTGAGGCGGCTTCAGGACGAGCCGATCCCGCTCGCCAACGCCAGCCCGTGTTCGGATGCGGACCTCTCCCTGTGGAACGGCGTGATCGGCTGCGAGATGGAGGTCACGCACATCGGGTTTGTGACTGTGCCGCTGCACTTCCTGATCGATTTCCCCAGCGACTACCCGACTGGTGCCCCCAACATCGGTTTCTCTTTCGAGTTCGGGTACAGGGGCGGGGCCTCTTACACCGAGCACAGCGGCAGGCTGAGAGGCAAGAAGGTGATATGCTTGGACATCCTCGGCAACTTCGGCCACGTCCACACGGAGTGGAAGCGCGAGGTTGGCAGCGGCTGGAGTCCAGCTTACACGGTGAGCACCCTCCTCATCCAGTTGCAGGCGGTGCTCTGCAGCTTGGGCGCCCAGCAGTCTCAGCAGGAGCGCGACGTGACCTACCAGACCGCCGTGCGCTTCTGCGAGCGGAACCCTGGCGCGGTGCTCGAGATCATGGACGAGGAGGAGCTCCGCGACGCGCGCGCGCGCCGCCGCCGCCGAGAGCAGCAGCTTCTCAAGGCGTGCGGCGGCGACGAAGCGCTCGCCGATCGCGCCCGCGCCATAGCGCACAAGGCGGGCGTCACCGCGCGAGGGGACCTCATGGACTCGTTCCTGGACCTGCTGTCCGATGTCGCGAGTACGGGCTGCGGCTCCCACGCCAGCGCCAGCGAGCATGAGCCGTGCGAGCCCGCCGTCGACGCGAACATCTGCTGCTGGAGCACGGGCAAGCTGTACACGGAGTCGCTGCTAGGGGTCGGGCTCAGCCGCGAGAAGCGGAACCTGGCCACGGCCGCGGAGCTGCTCTCCAAGGAGGCGTTCGACGGCGGTTTGCGCCAGAACACCGACAAGTCCGCCTTCGAGTTCTTCCTGCCCGTGTGGATCAACCAGTCGCACGCGGCCGAGCGCAAGGAGTGGCGCGAGGTCCTGCTGAACAGTTGCGGCACGATAGGCTCCAAGGTCTACGAGGTCACAGACCAAGACGATGCCATCCTCGAGGTGTTCCCGCGCCTCATCAACCAGATGGTCGTGGAGATGATGAAGCCCGAGGCGGCAAAGAGCGAGGCGATCGCGTTGTTTGAGGCTCTGTGTAACTTCTGGCGCACCTTCCGGTGGCTGGTGGACACCCGGGACTCTTTACGCAAGAAGGTCGGCAAGGCGTTGTCGAGCTTCGTGGCCGAGGAGAAGTTTCGGCTTAAGGACCGCTGCCCCGACATCGGAGCGTTGCTGGTGCAGTACACCGTGCTGCAGGACGACCCAGCCTGCCCGAAGCGCCAGGACTTCATCGATGCGTACTCCGACGAGTGCTCGCTGCGCTGGGTGATGTGGTGGCAGCGCTCCAACACGAGACCAGAGGCCACTGCGGTGTTCGAGGCCACCAGGGTATCACGCGAAATCCTGATGTTCCAGATGATGGTCATCGACGTCGTCATCGGCGACGTGGCGCTTACCGTGAGGGACATGGAAGCATCCAACTGCAAGCTACCTGCGCGGCTGGAAGAGCTCCAGGCGCGCTGGCGGGAGCGAAAGCAGACCGTCCGCGACTGGGCCGGGTACTTCACGTGCATCGGGGCCACACGGCCGCAGGCCGCGGGCCTGTCCGATTGGGTGACGAGTTGTGCCAGGCGCGCAGCCGACAGGGGGCCCAAGTACGACGGAAGCAAGGGCGCTTGCAAGGGCGGAAAGGGCAGCGCGAAGGGCAAGGGCAAAGGGCGGTGAGGTTCTGGCCCGCTCGGCACCCGCTTCGAGGTGCCTGAGGTTCGTGCACCAGTGACGCGGTTGCCATGCGCCCATGCAGGCGCAGTGTACAGTGCACAGGCATTCGGCAACCGCACGCCAGCGCGTGCTCACAAGAGCTGCAGCGAGAGCGTGGTGCAAGGAGTGAAGGGCTCTCATTTCTCTTCCCGAGACTCCTCAGTGTTCCCCCCCACCTCGCCACCGTGCCTGAGTTGTGGGCGAGAGTCGTGAGTGTCTATTGGGGTGCTTCTCGGGAGCCTCTTGGAAGGTTCTTAGCGGCCTCTTGGCGGGTTCTTGGGGGCCCTGTGGGCCTCCTAGGGGCCTTCTGGGGTCTTCTGGGGCCTCCTGGAGGCCTCTTGGGGCCTCTGAGGGCACCCCAGGGGCCTCTGGAGGACTCTTGGGGCCATCTTGGGGCGGCGGGCTTGAAAAGCCCGTTGGGGACCTTCCCCAGACATCTCCCGGGGTTCGATCCGACCAGATCTTCGACAATTCAGCCATGGGGATGAAACTCCCCAGGACGAGCAGCAGTATCGGTACACGTTCCTCCTCTGAGGGAGGGAAGGGTCAGCACCCTTTAAACGATCCTCATCTCCACTGGGCCATGGTGTCTCAGCCCCCCATCCCCCCCCCCCACCCTTGTCAGGGATAGGCCACGCGAAACCTGAAGGGAACAGCATACACACATCATATGTGATAGCCATACAGAAAGATCAGAAGGTATATGCATGCCTGTGGCATACTTGTATATATATAGTATGGCATGTGCATCCATACAGGCATGCATACCTACATGCAGATATGCCTGCGCGTACAAGCATAAATGTATGCATGCATGCGTGCGCACGCCTATTGTCAAACATATATGTACATATATATATATACACGAGTACGAACACACATGCATCAAAGCATGCATATAAGCATACACACCTGCATACATGAGCGCATACAAGCATGCAGACACAAATACATATATACACACGTACAGAGATGCATGCATGCAGACATACACGCCATATATATTTATATATGTGTGTTGCATGCATACATACATACATACAAACAATCATACACATAGACATGCATGCATACATACCTGCAGACCTGCATACAGTCAATCGTAACTACATAATTACATACATACATACAGCCATACATACATGTATAGTTTAGCATGCAGTCATACATACATATCTACAGGCACACAGATGCATGCATGCGTGTATATGTGTACGTACGGATGTATGCACCTGTATGTACGTATGTGTGCGCGTATGCAGGTATGTGTGCAATGAGTTGATGTGTGTATGTATATATATACATGCATCGTATGTATCGTATGATATGTATGCATGTCTGCATGCATGCATGGATGGGTGCATGCATGCATGTATGTATGTGTATGCCGTACCAACATAAATACATGCATACATACAGACATGCATACATGTATAGTTTAGCATGCAGTCATACATACATATCTACCGGCACACAGATGCATGCTTGCGTGTATATGTGTACGTACGGATGTATGCACCTGTATGTACGTATGTGTGCGCGTATGCAGGTATGTGTGCAATGAATTGATGTGTGTATGTATATATATATATATACATGCATCGTATGTATCGTATGATATGTATGCATGTCTGCATGCATGCATGGATGGGTGCATGCATGCATGTATGTATGTGTATGTATGGATGTGTGTACGTATGTATGTGTGTATGTATGTATGTATGTATGTATGTATGTATGTATGGATGGATGTGTGTAGATGTGTATGTATGTGTGTATGGATGTATGTATGTATGTGTGTATGTATGTATGTACGTATGTATGTATGTATGTATGTACGTACGTATGTGTGTATGTATGTATGTATGTATGTATATATGGATGGATGGATGGATGGATGGATGGATGGATGGATGGATGGATGGATGGATGTGTTGATGGATGGATGGATGGATGGATGGATGGATGGATGGATGGATGGATGGATGTATGGATGGATGGATGGATGGATGGATGGATGGATGGATGGATGGATGGATGGATGTATATGTGTATATATGTATGGATGCCTGTATGTATGTGTGTGTGTTTGTAGGTGTGTATGTAGAGGTCCCCTATCTGGGAGGATGGATCGGCCTGTAGGGCCCAGGCCACTCCAGCGAGGATAGAGCGGGATCTGTGAAATGATGCTCCAAGGGGGGACTCAACCTTCGGGAGGGTTGCAGAGTGTCAGTGGCACCCTGCCGTCGGGAGCCCGTCAGCATGCTCTTCCTCCTCCTCCTCCTCCTCCTCCTCGTCCTGCTCCTGCTTCTCCTGCTCCTGCTCCTCCTGCTCCTCCTCTCCCTCCTGCTCGTCCTGCTCCTACCGTCCTCCTCCTCCTCCCTTCATCCTTCCTCCTCCTCCCCATTCCCCATCCTCTCTCTATGTGTGTGGCTCTCGTTCTCCCTCTCTCTCTCTCTCTCTCTCTCTCCCTCTCTCTCTCTCTCTCTCTCTCTCTCTCTCTCTCTCTCTCGGTGTTGCCCACGAGCGCGGCGTGTCTTCCACCGGAGCACGCGGATGGCCCCCCCACGGCGGGGTGTCGTTGGTGTTGGTGTGCGCCGCTCAAGGAGCAGCAGCTCCTGTGGCCGAAGGTGCCAGAGGTGCCCCCCCTGGCCCAGGGGTGCCCTCGGGACTTCCAGGGAGGCCTCCACCGGCCTCCAGAGCACTCCTAAACGAGGCCCAGAGGGCCTCCGTCGAAGGGAAAAAAAAACGCCATGAACAGAAATGCCTGGCGCTCCGCGCGGATGTCTTGGGTCGGCGCCTGCGCCCCCCCCCCCCCCCCTTGGCGGCGCCTGCGGAGCCGCCCCTGGCGCGCTCCGAGGGGGGCCCCGCGCGGACCCGAGAAATCCGCGCGGAGCGCCAAAAGTTGATGTCTGTGCCGTTCTTTCTTCAGGACACGCACACAGCTGATGGGGCGTTCGATGTCCGCCGTGAGAGAGCACGGCCGACTATGGAGGACTTGGTGCCTCCTCTCCTCTGACCTTGGCTTGCTCTTCGCGAACCAATCTGGCCAGGGGGATAGCGGGGGTCTTATATATGATCGGGGACGACTTTGAGCCCTTGGGATCACGATCCTCCTGGACACGGGCAAGTTGAGTAGCCGCGCCTTGGTGGCACACTCGAGTGCCGCAGCCTCCAGTGAGCCCTCGACCCAACCCCTCAGAGTAGGATCCACACTTGTGGCATACCAGAATACTCGTGGGATGATCAAGGTGAGGGAGGAGGGAGGAGTCCAAGATGGAGCGAAAACCTGGGAAGCACCCTGGGCCAGGGGCACCTGTTGCAGCAGCCCCCGGCCGCCGCCGCCGAGGCCGCGGCGCGGCGGACGCGTCGTTCGCTGCGGCGCTGCGGACGGAGTCGTTGAGCCAGGCCGCCGAGGGGGGGCGCTGCCAGAACCGGCCCGGTGGAGGATCGGTACGATTAGGTGGGGCATGTCCTTCTACAGGAGGAACATTGAAGAACGGTTAAAGTATAGTCTGGGGGTGATACTTCGTGTTTGTTTGGCTATGTTTGACTGTTTGTGACTACTTCCATGCCCGACCTACAGTGAGCGGCTTGCATAAGGAACACTTACTTTTGAAAAGGGGCTCGGTCGTTCCTTAGGGTTACATGTGTAATTTACAGTTCCTTATGCGATATTTGTAATTGATCGTTCCTTATGCGTTATTCCTTGGGATAAAAAAGGGGCTTCGTTCCTTATCTATCGTTCCTTAGGTCAACGCCTCGACTGTAACGGTACGATCGAAACGGGTACGGAGAGAGTTGGCACGAAAGCCGGCCTCAGTCCCTGTTCGTGTCGAACAGGACTCGTCGTCGGTGTCCATGTGAGGCAGGAGGCCGCCTGCCCAACAGCGGCCGCTGTCGGTGTTGGACAACGCTTGCTGTTGGACTCAGAGCGCGAATTACCTACCCCGCTTTCACTTCCAGGCAAAACCAAGTCATACCACGCGCCTCCTCGTCAAGCGGCCTGACCAGTACAGGCCGTAGTTTGGCATCGTTTGGTATCTCTTGGAAGCGAGGGTGGTCAAAAGCGAGGTCGGTTTGTTGGCCCCCTATGGACATCGTACCCATTGGTCTGCGACCAATTTCGGGCGTCCAAAGAGGAGCAGGGAGGTCAACATTGGTCGGGGGCGGCCACGCAGCGCGGGGACCACGCCTTGTGGTGAGGCAGTTGGGGTTCGAACGTTTCGGACGTCTTCGTTGATCGTCGACGGCTTCTTCCTGCCTCGTCGTGCGTTCCAGCAGCAGCGCCTCGCCAAGAACGTTCTGGGGGGGGGGGGCCCCGATCGTCCCGAACGGCCGCCGGCGAGCCGAGCTCTGCCCAGAAACAGGGCGTTCGGAGAAGGGCGGGTGTGGTGACTGCACGGTGGTCGGACTCGGGAGTCGCTCTCCGAAGACGCTTCCGGGTCCCCGAGCCGTGCGGCGACGGACCGATCCCTCGGACTTCAACACAGCGAATCCCTATAGCTGTTGCGCCCGCATAATCCTGAATCTTTTCAAAACATGATCTCTGGCACGTTAAAGATGGGAATCCGTGAAACATCCGCACATGTTGTCAACGAATGTGCACGGCGCTAAGGAGAGAGCCACAATTTGAAAAGGAACCGCCTTCAATCCGTGAAACTCTTGCAAACTTTAAACTAAATGATGAGGAAGTCTCAGGCGAAGCGCCCGGCCCGCCCTGACAGCTGGCCTCGGGATGCGACAGGGAGAAGTTGTTTATAAGGAAAAGGAATGGAGGAGGAGAAGAGGAAGGAGGACGGAGGCATGAGAAAGGAGGGAGGAGGAAGTAGAGGGGAGCCGGAGGAGGAGGAGAAGAGCCACTGTCACAGGCACCTGCTTGTGCTCCTGCTTGCATATGTTTTCTCTCGCCCTTCCCCCCCCCGCGCACACACACACACACACACACACACATACACACACATTTCACGATAGTCGTTGTTGTTCGTCTCGATTGGCTGTGGCGCGTTGCAGTGGGAAGCCCAGCTTTGGTGAAAGGCAAAACGAAGCTTCAGTTCGTGGCATCGCCGCAGACGAAGCGCCCCATGCGCCTGCACATGTTTGGCTGGTCTCTGGCGTTCTTGACGCGATGATCGCATCTCTTGGCCAATTTGTTTGTGTTGACCGAGGGCACTGCCATTCGGATGGGTCGTCCGTTGTGCAGTTGTGGCTGCCTTCCAGGCCACACCCAGAGTCCCCTGGAGCGGCGGCACCCGTGTGCTTCTGGCAGCTGCAGCTCGGGGACCGCACGGAGATCGTGGAGGTTTGCCTCGGCGCCCAGGTCCCCCGGGCCCGTCCCAGGGGACCACGGGGCCCCCGGAGGCTGGGCGCAGCCGCATGGTGGACAGCTTCGCCGCGAAGCTCGTGTCCTCGTCCTGCGGATCACACGGGCTGCCCGGCACAGGCCCCAGACACTCATGCCGGGCGCGGGAGAAGACCGCCTGGGAGCACGCCGTCGGCGTCCCGAGCCCCCTCGGCTTCCTCCGACAAGGCGAGACCCGCGGCTGTTATGGCAGATCAGGCCGTTGACGTTGTCACACGTTGTTGCATCGTTGAGGCTCAGAATGCGAAACACCATGCCAC